TCATCTGTGGCCTTGTGGAGAAGGAGAGCTGTGTGGCCTCAGATGCCTTACTCAGGGCTTGCTCACACTCACATGCACACTCCCTCCCACCCAGGCCGAAACTGCACAGGGCTCTGGGTGCAGGGTCCTTCCTGGATCCCTCTCCACAAGGTGGGTCAGATGCTTCACCTCCCCTGACCTCTCTCTGATGGCTCCTCCATCTGGATGGGGTTTATTGGATGCTCCTTTCTCCCTGACCCCCAGACCCCTCCCCAAGGGGGCAAGCAGCGTCTGGACCCAAATGATGAGCAGAGCTCCTGCAAACTCATCCCCCTCCCTGGCTTGGCAGAGAGGAAGGGGGCAGGACCCTCTGCTCCCTGACTGGGGGTCACTGCATGCAGCCCTGAGATTCTCCCTTCTCCCAAAGCACCCCATGGGGCGTGAGAGAGGAGGTTCTGAGTTAGGGCCCCCAAGCACCTCTGGTGCAAGAGAGGGGCAGCTGGAATTGGGGAGGGGGATCTCTTGCTCTGGAGGATGAGCCCTCTCCCCCTCTCCTCTCTGCCTCCGGACCCTGTTGACCTGAAGACAAACAACGAGGACATGGGGGGGGGGGAGGAGAGTGACAGGCAGGGGGGAGGGAGGTTTCTGCAGAGATTGAGGGCCCCTTCGTCAGGGATGCTTGAGCTGAGATCCTGCCTGGCACGGGGTGGACTGGATGCCCCTCGGGCTCCCTTCCAGACTCTCCCATGCTCTGCTTCTAGTGAGGGGTCCCCTGCTTCTGGGGGGGGGGGTCTCCCAAATTAAGCATCTCTGGGGGGGAGGGTCCTCCCAGGCTCCTGCCTTGGAGGAGGAGAGAGCGGGGTTCTGGTTGTGCTCAGCCTGCCAAGGGTTAAAAGGAACAGAGCCGGATTTCAACTCCAGCAGAGATTATCTTTTGATCCATAAAGTCAAATAGTTTTGGTGTTGTTTCATGTTCCTTTGTGCAACTTGATTTTCTGAGGTTCCATTTCTATATGGAGTGTAGCTACTTCTGTATCAAAGCATAATATATTTTAAGATGTAATGTTAACGGTAGAAATGTACCATTTCATCCACAGTGAGCTTCACTGCTAAAGTATCATAAATGTCGTTTGTCTGGAGAATTCAAGGAGGCGGGGAAATCATTAACCTGCTGGCACAAGTTTAATGTTGTTTGGAGACCATAACTCCCCGGAATTTCATATTAGCTATGCGTTTGTGTGTGTTCAGCACACAGAATTGTAGGTGAGATGGAATAAAATGCGTCCCAGGAAATTCACTTTGACTTCTTACTCATTGTTTCGAATGTGACTTCACTTACAGATGAGAATGGACCATGTTGATTGCTGAAAAATTACACCATCGTCCCCTCATTAATTTGAACAAGCCCTTGAACATTAATAAAAGAGGCACAGCTCTGATCCAGTAGCCACTCATATCATGCTCTAGGATGGCATTGATATAGGGGGCTTAACGTACGACTGGTGGAATCGGTGTTGGGAATTGCATTCCACCCTTGCTGCAGATATGTGGGACTGTTACATGTCACGTGTGTTTACATTCCAGCACAGATTGCTGGAGTCTTGTGAGCGGAACATCCGCTCTCTATTGCTTTTGTTTTTCTCTCACTGAGAAGAACGGCAAGGAGAGAAGCCATGTTTTCTTTGTCCTGATTTATGTACAATAAACGTAGTCTAGTATCCATGCCTAGAGCCAGATCTGTTGTGTGTTTACTCTGCTGAGTAACGTGTGCTCATGAATGCACAGCAGTGTGAGTCGCAGACGCACATCGGAGGAGGATGACTGATGGATCTCCGCAGCGGCAAGGCTGAGAAGGGAGACCCAAGCCAGCTGGCCTTCCGTCCCACAATTCCGACAATCAGGACAACCAGCGGGAGACAGTGGCGTAGAAAGGGAAGCGGTGGGGGTGAGCCACCCCGGGGTCATCATGAGGGGGGTGACAAAATGCTCAACGTTTCCAAGCACAATTCAAAGTGTTGGTGCTGACCTTTAAAGCCCTAAACGGCCTCAGTCCTGTATACCTGAAGGAGCGTCTCCACCCCCATTGTTCAGCCCGGACACTGAGGTCCAGCGCCGAGGGCCTTCTGGCGGTTCCCTCATTGCGAGAAGTGAGGCTACAGGGAACCAGGCAGAGGGCCTTCTGGGTAGTGGCACCCGCCCTGTGGAACGCCCTCCCATCAGATGTCAAAGAGATAAACAATTACCTGACATTCAGAAGACATCTTAAGGCAGCCCTGTTCAGGGAAGTTGTTAACATTTAATGCTGTACTGTTTTAAACACTTGATTGGGAGCCGCCGAGGGTGGCTGGGAAACTAAGCCAGATGGGTGGGGTATAAATAATAAATTATTGTTGTTGTTGTCATCAATGCCAGCCCCCAAAAGAAAGCAACAGCTTTGGGCAAACAAGGCCACCACGCTCCTTCCTCCGCCACCAGTTGCTCTGGTGGGAAAGGAGAAGCAGGGCAGGGGCAGTGGGGGTGGAGGCTGAGGCTGGGGAGAGGTCAGCGCAAGTCCGAACCTCCAGGACACCGACCCTTGAGCCCTTCTCCGCCCCAGGGAGGCCACGTGATGGCCGGCTGTGTAATGAAAACAGGGCTGAGTTCTTTTTACCTTTATCAGAGTTTTCAAGAAGGACAAACATGATGCAATTCTCTTCAGATTACAACCCTTTATTGATTAACAAGTAAGAAGCAATAAGGACTCAATCATTCATCACTCATACATTCCTTTCATACGTGCCAGATGGCTGGACCCACTAAAAGATGGCCAGTCTCTTCCATGGGTCGTCGGATGGCAGGCAGGACAGCATGCAAAGGCCTTCCCGGTTCTTATATAGGTCCAGGTCCCATATGGCTCCATTGTCTTGTATTGAAGGGGGTTGGACCAAGCGATAGCTGTCATCATGCTTATTCCTCAAATAGACATGAATAATTATAGTTGAAAACAGTCTGGTTTCCGCCATGTTTGATTCCTCAAATAGATATGAATAGCATGTTTCAAACAGTCTAGTTTCTGCCATATTGTCACTGTCCTTATGAATAGTATGTTTCTTTCCACATGTCTTCTTTAAGAACAGTCATTTGTCTCAACCGTATGTTATAGTTTTCAGGTCATCCTTTATTTCATCCAGACGTGTTGTCATAACATGTCCAAAGATTAGGAAAAGAAGAAAGAAGAGGAAGCAGGATTGGATGAACATTC